CGGCGCAGCAGGAAGGGGGCCGACCAGACGCTGCGGACGGTCAGGGAGGGAGTGCCAGGGTGCAGGAGGAGGAGGAGAAGGGGGAGGAGGAGGAGGGGGTGGGGGAAAGGGGAGGAGGAGTAGGGGGTCGAGGGGTTGGAACGGTCAGGGAGGGAGTGCCACGGAGCAGGAGGAGAGGAGGGGGTGGGAGGGGAGGAGGAGTAGGGGGTCGAGGGTTGGAACGGTCAGAGAGGGAGTGGGAGCAGGAGGAGGTGGGGAGGGGGGAGAGGAGTAGGGGTCGAGGGGTTGGAACGGTCAGAGAGGGAGTGCCACGGAGCAGGAGGAGGAGGAGGGGGTGGGAGGGGAGGAGGAGTAGGGGTCGAGGGGTTGGAACGTCAGAGAGGGAGTGCCACGGAGCAGGAGGAGGAGGAGGGGGTGGGAGGGGGAGGAGGAGGAGTGCCACGGTACACCGCTGGCCCGAGGGGGAGGGAGGGGGAGCTGGAGGGGGAAGGGGCGGAGGTGAGGGAGGAGGAGAAGGGGGAAGGGGGAGGAGAAAAAGGGGATGGAGGGGGAGGAAGAGAATGGGGTGGAGGGGAGGTGGAGATTGAGAAGAAGGAAAAGGAAAAGAAGAAGGACGACAACGAGAAAGAGGGAGAGGGAGAGGTCACCTCCGAGTGCCGCTCTGCGTAGAGTCTTTGTAATCCCCGCGAGAGCCTCTCATATCTAAACCTGTCCGAAAACTAATCGCTCCCCTGAATGGAACCTTTTGGAAAACCTGTGAGTGCCAACAGCGCAGCGGCTGTTCGGAATCCCAGAGTGCCACTTGTCGTGTCGGAAATCGTAAAGAGTGCCACCTACACGTGCGGTTTGTTAGAATTGTGCGAGGTCCTGAAAGAATATTCGAATACTTGATATACATAAATGAAGAAATAAATGCATGTTTATTAGTAAATATTTATCGGTAAATAGATGGTTGAATGTATGTCTTATCAGATAAATAGATAGATGTGCCTTTATTTCTGCATCTGTATTTATGACAAATTCATTGGGTCAGGCCTGTCACAATTTTAACAAACTGGCTGATCGACTTGGGAACCTCAGGGTGCCACCATTGTTTATTTAAAAGACCCCGAGAGCCATCTGTATCTCATAGAGACCGTTAATGGTGCCATTGCTATATAAACCATTGATTGTGAGTGCCAGTCCTATATAACGTGCTTGAGGATTTTATCGCAGTCCCTTTGACGCTATCACAACATAACCCTTTGAGAGATCGCAGTGCCAAGGGAGAGCCACATCTGTAATGGTAGGGCAGAGGGCCACGTTATGTGTTGTTTTTGTATGTTTGTTTGTTTGTTTACTTGATTTTTTTTCGTTTGTGTGTTTATTTGGTTTTGTTTGTTTCTTCTGTTGATTTATTTTTTCCGATTATGTGTTTACTTGGTTTTTTGCTTGTTTCTTTCTTTCTTTATACATCTGTTTATTTGTTTTATTTCATTTGTTTTTTTTTCTATGGTATGTTGGTTAAACAGTGCCACACCTCCTACCCATTTTGTTCATGTTTTTCTCCATGTCTCATTTCCGCTGAAGTTTCCATCGCCTTTTCGTCCTGTCCCCCCCCCTCCCCCTCCTCTCCCTCTCCTTTTTTCCCTCCATTCCTCTTCCCTCCTCTCTCACGCTCTTCACCCTCTCTACCCCCCTCTTCCCTCTTCTCTTCTCTCTCCCTCCTCTTCCTCTCTCCCTCCTCTCCTCCCTCTCTCCCTCCTCCCTCCTCCCTCACTGCTTCTTCTCCTCTCTCCCCTCCTCTCTTCCCTCTATCCCTCCCTTCTCCTCCCTCCCCCACTCTCCCCCCACTCCCTCTCCATTCTCTTCCTCTCCTCTCCATTCTCTTCCCACTCCTCTCCATTCTCCCTCCCCCCCCCCCTCTCCGTCCCAGATACCCAATCGTTACGTCATCGCAGGCTGAGGTCGGTGGGTGTCGCGGTCATCCGTTTCTCCTTGCAACCGTAATTGGCTTCGTGACACCCCCCCCCCCCCCCCACACACCACCCGCATCCGACTCGCCCCGCCCTCTTGCTCTTTTTTTCTTTTTTTTGTTTTGTTTTGTTTTGTTTTTGTTTGTTTGTTTGTTTTTTTTAGATTTTTTTCTTTGATTTTTTTTTCTTTTTTTTATTTTCTCTTCCGTTATTTTTTTTTCTTCTACTTCTACTTCTTCTTTCTCCTCCTCCTTCTCACCTCTCCTCCTTCCTTTCCCCCCCTCACCCTATCATAATATTCTTCCCCCGCCTTTCCTTTCTCTCCTTCGTGTCCCCTTACTCCTCCTCCTCCTCCCTCTACCCCCCCCCTCCCCCGAGAATCCCCTTCTCGCTCCCACTCCCCCTCTCCTCCCCCTCCCCCCATTCCTCCCCTCCCTCTACTCCCCTTCTCCCTCCCACTCCCCCCTCCCCCCTCCCCCCTTCTCCTTTCCCCCTTCCCCCCTCCCACTCCCCCCTCCCCCTCACTCTCCCCCCCATTCCTTTCACGCCCCCTCTTTCACTCCCCCCTCCCCTCCCCCCCCCCCATTCCTTTCACGCCCCTCCCGCCCTCGCAATTACTGTGACATTTGCTTTATTAATTGAATCGTGACGTGGCGACCGCTGGCTTGAGAGGAGAATGCTCTGTGTGTGCGTGTGTGTGTGTGTGTGTGTGGGTGTGGTGGTGTGGGTGTGTTGTAGGCGTGTGTGTGTTTGTTTGTGTGTGTGTGTGTGTGTGGCGTGTGTGTGTTTGTGTGTGCGTGTGTGTGTGTGTGTGTGTGTGTGTGTGTGTTTGTTTGTTGTGTGTTTGATAGACAGACAGACAATAAAGATTGACAGAGAGAGGACAGTGAGACTTAAAAAGACAGACAGACAAACGTAAGCCTATAGACAGACAGACAGAAAGAAAAGAAATAAAGAAAGGAGAAAGTGAGAGAGAGAAAAAAGAGAGAGAGAAAGAAAGGAGAAGAGGGAGAGAGAAAAAGGAAGGAGAAAGAGAGAGAAAAAAATAAAGAAAGTGAGAGAGAGTAAAAGAAAGGAGAGAAAGGGAGATAGAAAAAGAAAGAGAAAGTTAGAGAGAGAAAGAAAGGAGAAAGTGAGAGAAAAAGAAGGAGAGAGAGAGGGAGAGCCAGCATCTTGGTGAGGGTCTCGACGCCCTTGTGTGCTCTCGTGAGGAGGCGGCGGCCGCGCCCCTCCCCCGATTCAGGAGGGGGAGGGGAGTGGGAGAGGAGGAGTAGGAGGGAAAGGGGAGAGGGGTGGAGAATGAGGGAGGAGGGAGGAAGGGAGGAAAGGAAGGGAAATGGGGAGGGGAGTGGGAGAAGGAGGGATGGGATGGATGAAGTGGAGAGGGAGGGAGGGGGAGGAGGGGAGTGGGTGGGAGGGGAGGGAAGGGGAGGGGAGGGAGGAGGAGGAGGGAAGGAGGAGTGGGATAGGGAGAGGGAAGAGGGAGGGGAGTGGAAAGGAGAATAGGAGGGAGTGGAGTGGAAAGGGAGTAGAAGGGAGGGGAAGAGTGGATAGGGAGGGGTAGGGGTTAAATAGGAGAGGGGGGGAAGAGGGAGAAGGGGGGGTAGAGAGGAAGAGGCAAAGAGAAGGGGAGATAAAAAAAAGAAAAAAGGGGTAAGACTGAAAGATGGATGAAATGGGGTTGGGAGAGAAGGGGAGAAGAGAATGGAATCGAGGGAAAAGGAGAGGGGAAAGTGAGTGAGGGGGGGGGGAGGAGGCGAGCGTATATAGGGGCTGCTTTTGTGAAAGGCGTTTGTGCGGGGGCGAAGAGGGGAGGTGAGGGTTGAGGAGGGGGGCGTGTCTTTGTGCTTGTTGTTTGTACATGTGTCTGTGTTTGCGAGAAGGGAAGCGAGCGTCGGGGGGGAGGAGGAGGAGGAGGAGGAGGAGGAGGAGGAGGAGGAGGAGGAGGAGGAGGAGGAGGAGGAGGAGGAGGAGGAGGAGGAGGAGGAAGGAAAATAATAATAATAATAATAATAATAATAATAATAATAATAATAATGAGGCGCGACGTTTTCGAGTGAGAAATGGACTTTGTGGTTTGATGAGGGCGACGGATGAGGAGAATAAACAACGTCATCATATTCATGTTCATCTTCATTTTCATCTTCATCTTCATCTTCATCTTTCTTTCCATCATCATCATCGTCTTCTTCTTCTTCTTCTTCTTCACCTTCTTCATCCTCTCCTCCCCATCATCTTCTTTTCTTCTCTTCTTCACCTTCATCCTCCTCATCATCATCATCATCAATAATAATAAATAATGATGATAATGATTATAATGATTATTACGATGAGAGTAATATTGATGATCATAATGATGACAGTAACAGTAATAAGAATGATAATGATAGTAATGAAAATCATGATAGTAGCAATAGTGATGATGATAATGATAATAACGAAAATGATGATGATAGTAACAAAAATGATTTAGTAATTGTAGTAATCATAATGAAATAATAGTAGAAATAATAATGATAATAATGATGACATAATGATAGTAATGAAAATTATGATAGTAACAAGAAAATAATAATAATAATAGCAATAATCATAATGATAATAATAATAGAAATGATAATGGTAATATGACATAATGATAGTAATGAAAATGATGATGACAGCAACAAAAATATAGTAACAGTAATAATAATCATGATGATAATAATAGTAGAAATAAAATGTAATAATGATGACATAATGATAGTGATGAAAATGATGATGATAATAACAAAATTAATATAATAATAGTAACAGTAGCAATAATCATAATGATAATAATAGTAGAAATAATAATGGTAATAATGATGACATAATAATAGTAATAAAAAGATGATGATAGTAACAAAAATGATAATAATAATAGTAGTAATAATCATAATGATAACAATCGTAGAAATAAGTAATGAAAATGATGATGATAGTAACAAAAATAATAATAATAACAGTAGTAATGATCATAATGATAATAATAGTAGAAATAACAATGGTAATAATGATGACACAATGGTCATGCCAGTAACAAGACCAGACAGATGCACCGCCGCGTCTACTTGTCATAAGCCAAATAAGGGCGAGGACAGTTGTGTAACAAGCGCCTCGCCGGCCAAGGGTCAAGAGGTCGTGTAAAAAGGAGGGGGAAGTGGGGGAGTGAGGAGGAGGATTAAGATAGAAGGAGAGGGGGTGGGGAGGGAAGTGGAGGTGTGGGGTGGTGCTGGAGGGGAAGGGAGGGGAGGGAGGGTGACGAGGAAAATACTGGCCGGGATGGGGAGAGAGGAAGAAGAAGAGAGAAGAAAGAGGAGGAGGGAGGAGGGAGGGAGGGGTGAGCGGGTGACACTTAAGAGAGGGGTAGGAAGGGGGGGGAGATGCGATGGTCAGAGGTCTCAGCTTCGTCGTCAGGGGGAGATAGAGGGGGGGGGAAGGTCGTAGATCCTAACATCATGGTAGTTCTTTTTTTTTTTTTTTGGGGGGGGGGGGGGGAAGGGTAAGCTCGAACAAATTGTACAAGAATGTTGATGTGCAGGAAAGCTCCCTCCCTCTCCCTCACCCCTCCTCCCTTTCCCCCTCTCTCCTCCCTCTCCCCATCTCCCCTCCCCCTTCCACCGTCTTCCTCTCCTATCATCCCTCCCTCTCCTCTTTCTCTCTCCCCTTCCTTCTTCCCTCTCCCTTCTCCTCCCATCCTCCCCCTCTCCCCATCTCATCTCTCCCCCTCCCCATCTCCTCTCTCCCCCCTCCCATCTCCTCTCTCCCCCCCTCCCCATTCCCCTCTCCGCTCTCTCCTCCTCCCTCTCCCTCCCTCTCCTCCCCCTTCCCCCCACCCGCATGATTATGTTGATCCTCGTTGCATGACCGAGTGACTGTGCTGGCCGCTTAGGGTTCGTAGGGTGGGTTGTCTGCTTGCATGTCTGCTTGCTTGCGTGATTGAGTGTGACTGTCTGCTTGATTGAGTGAGTGCGAGTGCTTGCGTGTGTGGTGGTGCGGTGATGCTGCTTGTTGATGCTTGCTTGATTGTTTGTGTGCTTGTCGATTCTGTATTGCTTGATTGTTTGTTTGATCGATTAGTATGCTTGCTTGATTGTTTCTGTTTCTTGATTATGTATGCTTGCTTGATTGTTTTTCTGTTGCTTGATTATGTATACTTGCTTGATTGTTTGTTTGATCAATTCTGCATGCTTGCTTGATTGTTTTGACTGATTGGATGTTTTTTTTATGCTATGCTAGTCTGATTGGTTGGTTGCTTGGATGTCTGAAAGAATGCTTGTTGTCTGCTGAGTGATCGAGTATGTGTGCTTGTTTGTTTGTTTTGTTTGTTTATTTGCTTGTCTTCTTGATTGCCTGAGAGTACGCCTGTTTACGCCTCTGCTTGTTTGATTGCATAATTGTCTGATTGCCCATCTAAGGGGTGGTCTTAATAGGGTGAATGTGCTGCAGCGGTGAGGTGGGAGGGAAGGGAGGGGGGAGGGAAGGGAGGAGCGAATGAGGAGGGTTAGGTTGGAGGGAAGGGTGGGAGGGAGGAGGGAGGAGGGAGGGAGGGGGGGGTCAGGAGGGAGAAGGAGGGAGGGAGGAGGGTTAGGGAGGGAGGGAATGAGGTGAGGGAGGAGGGGAGGGAGGGAGGGAGGAGGGTAGGGAAGGAGGGTTAGGAGAGAGGGAGGATGAGGGTCAGAAGGAGGAGGGAGGAATGAGGGTGAGGGAGGAGGATGAAGGAATAGGGTGATTTATGGAATGAGTGAGAGGGAGGGGATGAGGGTAGAGAAACGAAATGGAGAAAGGGAAGAAGAAAGAAATGGAGAGACCGAGGGAGAGTTTAAAGACTGAGGGAGAGGTGATAACTATGACAACTATGATAACGATAATAGTAATGATCATGATGACGATGATGATGACGATGATGATGACGATGATGATGACGTAGACGGGTAAAGGGTTTTAAGACAAATCGTCATCAGATCAGACGCTTGAGAACGAGAGGAAGACGCCCCTCGAGATGGAGCGAAGGATGCCGTCCTTCGTATCAAAACGTCTTCGAGAAAAGAGGAGATCCGAGATAGACCCCGAGACCCCAAGATTCCGAAACGTCGAGACCCCAAGATCCCCAGATTTCGAGACCCCAAGACCCGAAACCAGACGTCATGACCCCCAGACCCCAGACTTCGAGACCTACCAGACGCCAGGCGGAGTGACCAGAACCGCCAGCCCAGATTTTGAGACCCCAAGATCCCGAGTTTCGAGACCAAATCAAGGGATCCGAGCATTTCGAGACCCAGATCCGGGAGACGTCGAGACCGTCAAGATCCAGACTTGAAGACGCCCAAAGACGTCGAGACCGCAGACCTAGACGTCGAGACCCCAGTCCCCCAAACCCAAGACGTCGAGACCCCAAGTCAGACCTCCCCCTGGTAGACCCCCGTAGACCTCCAACCGAAGACTCACAAGAATCCCTGACCCATAGACCCTCAAGATCCCAGAGACCCAGACCCTACCGACCCCTGTGGACCCCAGACCCAAGACCCCGAGTTTACGCCCAGACGGGGAGGAGCGCGCCGCCAGGAAGGGGGCACGGCAGGGGCTGAGCAGGGGGGGGGGGGGGGGCACGGCCGGCGGCGACGTCGTCGTGTGCGGGGCAGCGGCCGTGTGGGCGGCGGGAACGAGGAAGCCCTGGGCGGGAGGGGTGTGGCGGGGGAGGGAGGGAGGGGGGAGGGGGGAAGGGGGAGTGAGAGGGAAAGGGAGTAGATGGGTTAGGATGGGTAGGGAGGGAGCGGGAAGGGAGGGGGGAAGGGGAGTGAGAGGGAAAGGGAGGGTAGGATGGGGTAGGGAGGGCAGGAGGGGTGGGGAAGGGGGAGTGAGAGGGAAAGGAGGGTAGGATGGGATGAGTAGGGAGGGTAGGATGGGTGGGGGGAGGGGGAGTGAGAGGGAAGGGGGGGTAGGATGGGGTAAGAGGGTAGCAGGAGCGTGGGCGGGATGGGTGGAGGGTAGGAGGCGCTTGTCCTTACTGGGCCAATTCAGCGGGAGGGGAAGGGGGGTAGGGAGAAGAGAGAGAGAGGAGAGGAGGGGAAAGGAGAGGAGAGAGAGGAGAAAAGAGAGAGATGAGGAGAGGAGGAGAGAAGGAGAGAGGAGAGAAAGAGGAAGAAAGGAAGAGGAGAGGGAGGAGAAAAAAGGAGGGAGAGAGAAGGAAGCGAGGGGAAAGGAGGGAGCGATGGAGACGAGGATAAGACAGAATGAATGAGAGAGAAGGGAGAAAAATGGATGGAACTCGGGAGAGAGAGAGAGAGAGAGAGAGAGAGAGAGAGAGAGAGAGAGAGAGAGAGAGAGAGAGAGAGAGAGAGAGAGAGAGAGAGAGAGAGAGAAGAGGGAGAGGAAAGGAGTTAAAGCTTCAAGAGCCGAGAGCACAAGGGGGGCAGACGCGTGTATACGTCCGTGTGTTGTACGTGACGGTGTCTGTGGTCTGGAATTGTGTGTCTTCTTTTTCTGGCTCCTTTCTTTCTTCTTTGGCTCTTGTCTCCTCTTTCTCTTTGGCCTCTTCTTTTTTTCTTTTTTCTCTTCCTTTCTTTCTTCTTGGGATTTGCTCGCGGTGGCTATGATAATGAGGCGAGATGTTACGCTGGTGAGGCGAGGGCGGCGGTGTCGGGGGCGGAGGAGAGGACGTCGAGCTGAGGTTTTCTTTTCTTTCTTTTGTCTTCTTCGTTTTCTTCTTCTTCTTCTTTTTCTTTTCTTTTCTCTCTTGCTCCTTCTTTTTTCTTTCTCTCTTCTCTTCCTTTTTTTTCTCTCTTTTTTTCTGGGGATTTGACTCGCCGTGGCTATGATAATGAGGCGAGATGTTACGGTGGTGAGGCGAGGGCGGCGGTGTCGGGGGCGGAGGAGAGGACGTCGAGCTGAGGTTTTCTTTTCTTTCTTTGTTCTTCATTCGTTTTTCTTCTCTTCTTCTGGTTTTCTTATTTGTGGTCTTATTTTTTTTTCTCTACTTTGCGTCATTTTCTTTTTTCTTCTGCTTCTTCTTTTCTGCTTTTTTCTTTTTTGTCTTCTGTCCCGTCTTCTACTTGTTCTTTTTTCTTCTCCTTACTTCTTCTGGTTTTCTGGGCACTTGGGGGTCATATATGTGCGTTTCGTCGTCTCTGCTCCTTCTTTTTTCTTTCTCTTCTTTCTTCCTTTTTTCTCTCTTTTTTTCTGGGTTTGACTGGGCGCGCGATACTTGGGGTAGGGGATAGGAGGGAGATTGATTTGGATGTTAACGGTGTTGAGAGAGAGAGAGGAGAGAGCGCTCGCTTGGAGGAGAGACAGAGAGTGGTTGTTGTGGCGATGCTGAGTCATAGAGGTAGTATATCTCTACGGTGGCTTGGAGTAGCTACATCGGACTACGGCCGTGGGCTGAGATGTCGTTGTACCTTGGGAGAGTATATACTCTTCGGTGAGCACTCTGCCTAGTTTAAGAGGTGGGAGGGTTGGCTACGGCGATCTATATAACTTTTTGGGTCTAGGGCAAATGTCGTATTCGGACAGTGTGGAGGCGGCGGCCATTATCGTAGTACGGTGGTTTGTGTCATGTCTCTCTCTCTGGTGTGTGCTCTCTCGTGCTTCATTACGAGTGTGTATATAGAGAGGACTTTGAAACGGCTGTCCGGGCGATAGATGACGTACTCTCGGAGTGCGGAAGATGCTCTACGGGTGGTGGAGGCGAAGGGGCGGACTGTGTCGCGGGGATCGGAGGAGGGACGTCGAGCTTGAAGTTTTCTTGTTGCTTCTCGTTATTGTGTTCTTACGTTGGGTTCGTTCCTCTTCGTTCTTGACCTTTGATATCTCTTTTTTTGTTCTTCTTTTCTTTTTCTTTAGCTTGGTAATCTTATTTTTTCGTTTTTTCTTCTGGCCTTCTCTTGTTGGCCGCCTTTTTTTTTTCTTTTTTGTTTCTTCTGTCTGTTCTAACTTGTGCTTTATTTTTTCTTCTCCTGTTCTTCTTCTTTCTTCTTTTCTTTTCTCTTGCTGTCATCCTTGTCTTATTTCTTTATCTCTTTCTCCTTCTTTTTTCGGGTCTCTTTTTCTGGGGTTTGAGCTCGCCGTGGCTATGATAATTGGAGGCGAGATAGGTTACGGTGGTGAGGCGAGGTGGGCGGCCGGTGTCGGGGACGAGGAGAGGACGTCGATGCTGGAGCGTTTTCTTTCTTTCATTGTTTGTCTTCTTGTGTTATCGAGTGTTCAAAACCTTTTAGTGTTCTTTCCGCCTTCGAGTTGAGCTTGTTTGGCTTGCTTGGATGGCTTTTTCTCTTTTTCTTTTTTTGTTCTTTTGTGTTTTTCTTCTAGCCTCATCAGATATTCCTTGTTTCTATTGGCACTGGCTTCTTCTGCTTTCTTGCTTTTTCTTTTTTCGTTCTTGGGTCATTCTTCTATACTACTTGTTTCTTTTCCTCTTCTCCTGTCTTCGTTCTTTTTCTTTGGGTTCCCGTGGGACTTTGCTGTTCTCGCCTACATAGTCTTTTTCGCTCGGTGTTCTTCTTTGCTCTGGGTATGCTTTTTCGTCTCTTTTGTTCTGGGGATTTTGACTCGCCGTGGCTATGATAATGGGCGAGATGGATTTTACGGTGGTGAGGCGAGGCTTTGCAGGTGTCGGGGTACGGAGAGGAGAGGATGTCGGGGCTGGTAGGTTGTTCTGTTTCTTCTCTTTTTGTCTTCTTCGTTTTTCTTCCTTCTTCTTGTTCTTTTTCTTCTTTTTCCTCGCTTCTATGAGGCTATCCTTCTTTTTCTTTTTCTGGTTCTTGGTTTTCTCAGTTCTTTTTATCTCCTCTTTTTTCTGGGGATCTTGACTGCGCCGTCGGCTATGATAGGAGGAGAGGCGAGATTGTTACGGAAGATGGTGGTGAGCGGCGAGAGGGGCGGTTCGGACGAGGGGAATTAGTGACTGATCAGTGGTTGGAGCCGGGTTGGGGGGACGGTCGCTGCTGAGGTTTCCTTTTCTTTACATTATAGTTACTTTGTGTCTTGTCCTTTTGCGTTTTTGCCTAGCGCTTCTTCTTTTCTACTTTCTTTTTTTCTTTATAAAGAGGCTTCTCTCGTATGTGCTGTACTCCGCTCTCTTTTTCTTTTTTCTTTTTCTCTGACTTTTTTCTCTTTCTTTCTTCTGGGGAATTGAATCTCGCCGCTGGGCTTTATGCTAATGAGCGCGAGATGTTACGCACTCTGAGCGTGGTGAGGCGAGTGGCTGCGCGGCGGTGTTCGGGGGACGCGGAAGGAGAGGGACTGGTGAGCTGCAGATTTTTTCTTTTCATTCTTCTTGTCTGCTCGTGGTTTCAGCTCGCTGTCGGTTCCGGGTGGGCAGGCTTTCTTTCTACCGTCTTTGTATGTTACGTAATGTGGTCTTTTTGTGTCTTGTTCTCTCTTTTTCCTTCTAGCTTTCAATTTTCTATTTTGGTCATTCTGTCTTCTTTCTTTTCTGCTTTGCGTTTTTCTATGTTTTTGTCTTCTCTTTCTACTGTGTGTCTGTTTTCTTTCTCGCTTGCATTTTCCTTTTTTCTTGCTGCCCTTCTTCTCTTTTTCTTTTCTTTTCTCTTGCTGCCCTCCGTATCTTTTCGTTCTGTTCTCTTACTCTGCTTCTTTTTCTCTTTTTTTTTCTCGGGCAATTTTTGACCTCGCCGTGGCTCCATGAATAATGAGGCGAGATGTGAGGTGTGAGGGGGCGTAATGGGACGGCGGTGTCGGGACCGGGGCACGGAGAGAGAGGACGTGAGCTGAGGTTTTGTTTCTTGGTAGTCGCTGTTGCTTTGTTCTTCTTGTTTCTTCTTCTTCTTCTTCTCTTTTTTTTTCTCTTTGCTCCTCTCTTTTGTCTTTTCTCTTCTCTTCTTTTTTCTCTTCTTTTTTTTCTTGGCGGATTTGGACTCGCCGTGGCTATGATAATGAGGCGAGATGTTACGTGTGGTGAGGCGAGGGGACGGCGGTGTCGGGACGGAGGAGAGGTGACGTCGAGCTAGGTTTTATCTTTTTCTTTGCTTTTGTCTTCTTCGTTTCCATTCTTCTTCTTAATTTTCTTTTGTTTTTCCTTCGCTCTTCTCTTCATTTTTCTTTTTCTTCTGGCTTCTTCTCTTTCTGGCTTTTCTTTTCTTTTTGTCTTCTTCTTCTTCTACTTGTTCTTTTTCTTCTACTTCTTCTTCTTCTTTTTCTTCTTTCTTTTCTTTTAACCTTTTCTTTTTCTTCTACTCCTTTTTTTTTCTTCTTTTTCTTCTCTTTTTTGCTGGTGGTACTGCTTTTTTGTTTAATTGTTTTATTTTTCCTTGTCATTTTATTTAACTTTTTTTCCTTATGTTTCTTTTGTCTTTCTTATTTCCGATTCTTCGTTTTTCTTGTTGCTTTTTTCAATTTTTTTATTTATTTTTTTCTTTTCCTCTTTTATCTCCCCTTTGGTTTGTATTCCTTTCGTCTTTTCTTTTTCGTTTTGCTTTTTATTTCCTCCTTTTTCGGATTTTAATCTCCCGTTTTCTATTCTATATTTCATCTTTTGTCTTCTTTTATCTCTCCCTTTCCTGCTTTTCCCATTTTTCTTCCTTTATCTCCCACTTTTATTTTTCTTTCTCTTTCTCCTCTTTCTGTTTCC